ATGAGAGGGGTCACTGAAAAGCAGGAAAGTGTCGTCCATATATCGACGGTAATAAATTGGTTTGAAGTTGGAAGGGAAGTTGATGCAAATTGTTTACTGTATATCACTGATATAAATGTTAACAACAAATTAAGCAATGTTGACTTCAGACACTACAGAAAGTTACTAAAATTAGGCATTGATCTGAGTAAAAAGGCAAACAAAAAAAAAGTCATCTTCAACTTTTCTGATAAGATATTATCAGCTGATCAAAAAGATCTACTTTCTTTAGTTCTGGATTATTGTATGCAACCTAACACCATTAACCATACACATTTTTTTCTTTGCTTTGAAAAACTGTGTCATACCATCCGAAACTGTAAGATTTATAAAGAAAGGTGGAACCATATCACAAGTACCATCTCTATTGTGGCTAATAATACATTCAAGAAATTTAAACATTATATTAAGAACAACCATGAACATCATTCGTTCTTTACTTCACTGAAATCTGTAAAGGATGATGATAATATCATCATTACCAGACAAGATAAAGGTCGTGCAATCGATATCCTTAACAAAGACGATTACCAAAACAAACTACAGTCCATACTGGATGATAGCTCTAAATTTAAACGAATTAGCTGTCATACTGCTAGTTATCTTTTAAAGCTAGAAGACAAATTGAATAGGTTGTTACGCCCTATAAAAACATCTATTGGGGAAGCCACTTATAACCTTCTCACTACTTCTGGCTCAAAACCTGGTTTCGTATATGGCCTGCCTAAAATACACAAACTTGGTCATCCCCTTCGGCCCATCATTTCAGCAGGTGGTACTTTCAACTACAACATTGCCAAATTCTTAGTGAAGAGAATCTCCCCACTAACGATCAATCAGTATACGATAGACAACTCCTTTGCTTTTGTCAAAGAAATTTGCTCACTAAAACCCTTACGCCCTGTTACTATGGCCAGTTTTAACATAGAATCACTATTTACAAATGTCCCACTAAGAGAAACAACAGAAATAATAGTTGACAAAACTACCGCTTTGACTCTAAATGCGTTTGGTCTGGACAAAACCTATGGAAAACTTTTAGACATCGCTGCTCACCATTCAGTATTTACTTTTAATGAATCCCTTTACACTCAAGTTGACGGCGTAGCCATGGGATCACCACTTGGCCCTTGTTCTGCTAATACTTTCCTTTGTTATCATGAACAAGCTTGGCTCAACAACTGCCCTTCCAACTTCAAACCAATTTATTACCGTCGATATATGGACGACACTTTCCTGCTTTTCAGTGACCCCTCTCATATCAATCCTTTTATTTCTTATCTTAATTCACAACACCCCAACATTAGATTTGCCTGTGAAGCTGAACAAAACAATAAACTATCATTCTTAGACACTACCGTTACATTTCTTAATGGTTGTTTTTCTGTAAACACCTATAGGAAACCAGCATTCACTGGCCTCGGACTTCATTTTCTAAGCTACATACCTCGCATTTATAAGCTTAATAGCCTGAAAACACTAATTAACCGAGCTTACAACATTTGTTCCATGTGGGCCAATTTCCACACAGAAGCTATGTATTTAAAGGAGTATTTTATCTCCAACCTATTTTATTGAGTCATTAATAACTTTCTTAGAAGCTTTCTCACAAACTTGTACTTACCACGGTTAACAAAGATGTCAATACATCAAATTACCATATATGGGCAGTCTTAGTTTTGAAATAAGAAATTCGTTAAACTATCCTCAAGTTAGTTTCCGGTTTGTTTTTTAAAATAGCAATTCAATTGGCAATTTTTTAAAACAAAGGAAAAAGTGCAACTCTGAATTATGTTCAAATGTGGTCTACCTTTTTACTTGTCCTAGCTGCCAGGCTAGGTACGTGGGTTCAACCTCGCGTTGTCTGCAACACCGCATTCTCGAACATAAAGGCAAGTCTATCAGGACTGGCCTACCACTGAGCAAACCATCTTACTCAGCAATCAGAGAGCACCCTCACCTTCACAACCACCCGTTTAACACTACTGATTTCAAAATCTTGACCTCCCACCCTAACAGATTTGACCTGATCATAGCTGAATCTCTCCACATCATTACCATGAACCCAGAACTTAATGGCACAACCACTGCAACCACCCTGTTCACCATGTAATAACCATCAGTACTGTCGAATGGTTAGTTTGCCTCTTTTGTATTTACTATTGTTATGTACCTTGTTTTTCCAAATGTTTTTACATTATATGTTTTCTATTCTTTGTAAGCACTTTCTATAAGAAAAATATTTGTATCTATTTAGGCACTGAGGATGGAGATTGCATCTCCGAAACGTCTGCAACAATGAAGTTTTTCTCAGCAGTATTGGTTTTCTCAAGGAACACCTCTATAACGCAATCTATACGACGACGATATGGCAAGACTACCCTGGACGTGTATAGAAGGATCGAAAAGAACTCCTTTCGCTCTAAGAAACTGGAAAAAGATGTTATATATATGTATATATATACACATATATATGTGTGTGTGTGTGTGTGAAAACTACCTGGACATTGGACTTCCTCCAGAGAATAACCAAACTGAGGTTAGATCCGTGCAAGGTTATTCAGTTACAGTAAAAAGGGCTGTAAGAAATAACAAACGCCTCCGGTAGCCCAAATTTCTCGAAACTTTTACTTGGCGGATTTCTGAAGATTCGCATAATCTCAGAATCAGCAGTTGCCATGCGGAAGGAGGGCGCCTTGGACAGTCTTCTCACTGTGTTCCGGAGCCGTTGTTTTCCAGCATGGCGACGGCTAGAATTTCCGTTCACACGGAGACTTATTATGCTGGGGCTGGAATTTATAGCCATTTAACTATCTGTTTAATGCATCGGCAGATGCTCTGCTCTCACTCCTCTGCTTGCTTCCGAATAATAGTGTGTAGGAAAAAGAGAGAGAGGGGATGTTCTGTGTGTTCCTGTGTATGCCTGTGTATGTTGGTGATTGTTTTCAATAAAATAATACCAGTTATCATCGGAGGTACATAGAGTACGGTAGATAAATATCGTATTTTTACTCCAGGACGAGGAGTGAAAGTATAATAGACAAGCGAGTTCATTGAACTGTTAATAGAGCGTTACCTGAGAAGCGAACATTAAAAGAAAAATATCGTTTGTCATCATGCGTCTGGAATGAAAGGCTTATCCATTCACTTGAAACATAACTGGCAAGTCAAATCATTATAACCTGAGGAAGCTTAAAAGATGAAAAAGGAAGACCCAGGATCAGGAAAGGCTGGACCAGGAAAGGTTGAGGCCACAAGTACATAACATAAATGAAGATAATTGAGTGGCGACAAAAAAAAAAAAAATAAGGTAAGTATTTCGTGGATCCGTGAATCCATAACCAAGAAAAGTTATTTTAAATATATTAATATTTAATATTTAATTATTTAATTTAATTTAATTATTTAATATTAAATAAATATTTAAATATTTTAAATATAAAGAAAAAAAAAAAGAAGAAAACTGAGAAGCTGACGAGAACAGACAAACCAGGATGAAAAGCAAGGGACTTGATTAGAGGAAACACAATTGACATAAAAGGAATCGTGAAGAAATAAACATATATCAGGCAACAAAATTCTTTGAAAATTATTTAGAAAAGAAGTCATGAAAAGGAGAGCTGAATAAAATCTGACGCTGATGACGATTTTTGTGGTGGATCCGAGATGAGTATTACAATAAAGCCATCCAGATGAAGATAAGAACACAATCTGATAAAAGTAGAAAAGTTCACGGAAAAGCGGGAAAGAATGTTTAATTGGAAACCACGTGAACATAAATCATGCAAGCTTGTTTACGGGAATAGTGACATCCAGATTGATTGAGAGAACAGCGCCGAGGAATTCAACACTTTGGGCGGCAGAAGTGTCCATTTAGGAGGAAGCCCCAAATTTCGGCTCAAGCCTCCGTCTTCGTCTAATGCAACATTAAGATCACACGTAAGCAATCAACGATACGATTTGGCACAGAAAAACAGAATGGAAGAAATGTCTAACTTGACTTAAATTATTAAAAGGCATATGGCATGGTTAGACATCACTGTACTCTTAAATCACCTGGCCATTACTACCATGAAACTTTTTTGAAACAAAGAAAATCAACCATAGCGTCAAGTAGAGTTAGGATATGAGGAGAGAAGAGTCTTGGCTTAGGAAAAGTAAGGGCAATAACTAAAAAAGGATGAATCAATAATTAGCATAAATATGCCGAAGGAAATAAATGAACAAAGGATTATACCTACTAATTACGTTTTATGCTGTGATTTGACAGTATAGAATTAATAAGCGATAATTTTCGAAAACGCAGAGAATAATGACATAAATAATCTGGTTTATTGCATATATAACGGACAATAGTACAAGTTATGACAATAAACTGTAGTGATAACCCTACTCCCGCTACTTATTATACAGCTGAAATGTATAGAAGATAAAAGGAAAAACGAGAATAAGGATAAAATAAGTTATTATTATTATAATAACAATGTAAACAAATGCTCGTGTTACTAGTAGAAGCAATAATGATAACAATGATAAAGCGATAACATCAGCAACAATTACAACAACAGTAATGATTAAAAGATTAATTATAATCGGTTACAACGATTAAAGCATTTTTTTAAATATCCAAAACCATAGCTGATTATAATAACAGCTATGATAATATTGAAAAACGATAATGATATTTCTGATATTTATCAATAGTAATAGTAATACTACGAATGATAACAATGGTAACAATTAATAATCAACATGTACTCCATCATTTTTCTGCGTATGTCGATTGCAGTCTTTGACCGAGTGCATGACCATGGTGTAAATGGTTGGTTTGAAACAGAAAACAGACCGATTAATAACGCATTTCATCGCTTTACGTGGCGCATAAAATCTAAAATGCTTCATAAATTTTAGCTCCTAAATCTACTGTAATGAAAACTAAGCCGGAAAATCACGTTCGCTCAACCTGGCCCAGAAAATTTGGTCGTTCCTCTGGCCACATTTTTACCTCTGCGTTTTTGCGAACGTTATCACAACCAGCGGCAGGAGCAATATGCAGAGTGAATAATGTACAGGCCAAGCCAATCCCTTTCACCGAATATTGATTGGGGAGACTATAGCAAGTGGCTCGGCTTGTATCTGTTATAAAGACATTGAAATAAGTTTAAATTATTTAGCACCACTGTACATTACGAAAAGCACATCATGTCTCACCTTTCATCTAAGGAAAATATCAACAGTTGACCTTGAGGGATGTGGCGACGTCCTCCGCAACGACTTTTATTCCTTGCGCAGAAAAGGCAATAATCAACCCAATTATTAATAATGAACGGTATTACGCGAAAGTAATAATCAAGAATAATACTCTTGTCATAAAACACTAAATCTTTGGAGCCGCTTGACGGGATAATGATTCGCAGGCAGGGAGATGAAATTGGTCCTAACAGATTCCCGGAAGTTAGAAGGAATGCAGTGAAAAAAAGGGAGAGAGAGGGGGAAGTAAACATCGAAAGAAAAATAGTCTGTTCTACCAGCATGCCGCGGGTATGATTTTAGTACAGTCTAAATATCCCCGCATTTTTTTAAACCAAAAACACTTAAAAGCAACAGCACATAAGTCATTTGTGAAATAGTCATTATCATATGTTTTTTTTTTTTTTCTTTTCTTTTCTTTTTTTTAGACTGGGAGGGAGCGCTCCGTCCGCCGCCGTCCCCAGGCCCCCATTGTATCGTTTCGACCAACGCGCTGTTCGGCCATTGGCTTTAATCACGATGGCTTGATATCTCCGCTTAAATAGGTAGTTTCTTTTTTTCTTCCTTTTTAGCGTGTGAGCAGGGAACCGTCATTTTTCTCTTTTCTTTTTTCCGCCTTTTTGGGAGACTATGCCGATTTCAGTAGAGTGATGTTTGAGAATTTAAATGGACACATTTGTCAATTCGAACCAGGATCACTGCATATATTTTGGTACAATTATCTGCAGGGAAGGAAGGATCAATTTCTTTTCACTTTGCCTTTTAACCTTCCTACCTTTTTTCCACAGTCTTTTACTATTTTTTCTGTTGCTCTCTCTCTCTCTCTTTTGCCTTGCTTTGCTTTGGTTTGCTGCCCTTGCTAAGTTATCGACAAAACTGCCATTTCCTTTAGTTAATCATACTGTAGAATGTAGTTGGAAGCCGGCAATATCTGTCGCAACGGAAGAGGCAGAGAAGGAGGGTGTGAAACTACAGGAGTGAGGATGTGTTTCTAGCGTTTATAATATATATATATATATATATATATATATATATATATATATATATATATATATATATAGTGTGTGTGTGTGTGTGTGTGTGTGTGTGGTGGTGTGTGTGTGTGTGTGTGTGTGTGTGTGCAATTATAATTATAATTATAATTAGTGTGTGTGTTCGTGTGTGTGTGTGTCTGTTTATATGGTTGTTTCAATTTGTGAGAGAGCTAAGGGTATGCGGTTCAGCCTGCCATATTTAGATTATCATATCTGGTGCATTTTTGTGGCCTACACAAAGCTGTAAGCCACAGTTTGCATCATTCCTCTGTAGACCTGTATGGAAAAACAAAA